TTCAAATAACAGCATGATTAAACATATTCAATTTCAAGAGCGTTTAAAGAGACAAACGATTTATTCAATACAGTTTCGGGTGACACACAACATAGGAAGTTACAGTGTCCGCTTCTCTACTGACCCTTATACCAGCAGGATGCAGATAAATTGCTATCCCCATGCTTGAGCTGAAACTAAAACAAACACTTATAGATGTAAATAAACAAATAAACAGAACATGTTATATGTGACGGCTCACTACCAATACATATTTATAACCCGTGAAATCAGATAAGGGGGAAATGGTGTTTATCATGTAATCCAGACATTCGTTTATCCTTATTTCCTAGGTGGTTCTGCTTTTTTCGTTGCCATGCGACATGTTATCGGTTTAATTGACTGTCGGATCTTCACGGCTCCTTCTTGAGTTTAAAGTGAGCGTGGTTATTGATGGAGATGGAGGCGCGAAATGTTGCATGGTCGTCGCTATATATACATCCATGTACTGAGAAGAAGATTCGTTTTTCTGGGCTATTAAATCTGCATCTTTAGCGTTTGTACATGAAGAGCAACTTTACTGTACTTAAGGTGACAAATAATATAAAACCATTCTACTTAATGATGCTTACAGTCCAACCTCATTGTATGTGATAGTGACATTTATTACATATAGAGTTAGAAGTAACCGAGTTGATAAAATTCGTATGTGCACGAATTCAAATATCACTTCTCGCGCGCACCATTGTATTGTTTCCGTCATCCGGACGGCATTGTTGACGTCATTCAAATCTTATTGTGACGTAAGGTCGGAATGACGTCACACTAGAAACGACTTCAAAGGTGAAGATTGTTGACGTTTTCTAGGCGGCAGTGGTGATCACTGCATTTTCTAAAGGGAAGCTAAAAAGGATTACTAAATAATGGGTGATAAAGAAATTATTACACTCACATGTGCGTTATACTGATTTTACGAAACACGTGTATGACACGCATGCTGGTATAATAATTTCTATGCATTTACCCATAGGGTTAGAGTTACAAGGCTCATATAAATCGTATAAGCACCAGTGCAAATAACATTCAGTGTATTGTTTACGTCATCCCGAAGGCATTGTTGACGTCATTCGAATTTCATTGTCGGAATGATGTCACATTGGCAACAACGTCAAACATGAAGAATGTTGACGTCATTCGACAATCGTGTTTTTGTCTGTGTTTGTTTGTTTTTTGTTTAACGCCACTCTCGGCAATATTCCAGCTATATGACGGCAACCTGTAAATAATCGAGTCTGGACCAGATAGTCCAGTGATTGACATCATGAGCATCGATCCACGCAATTGGAATCGATGACATGCATCAACCAAGTCAGCGAGCCTGACCACCCTATCCCGTCGTAAGAGGCGACTAACTGGATCGGATGGTCAGACTCGCTGACTTGGTTGATGCATATCATCGTAACCCAATTGCGTAGAACGATGCTCATGATATCAATCACTGGATTGTCTCCCAGACTCGATTATTTACAGACTGCCGTCATATAGCTAGACTATTGCTGAGAGCGGCGTTAAACAACAAACAAACACCATTCAAACCTTTTTTGTTAATCCGGGCATTTGACTGTCCGGATGAGCTCACTGGAAACGGTACCGTCCCGGATAAACGGGGTTTCACTGTATATGACCTGTCGCTTTCATCTCCCCGAGGCAAGGGAGTTAAGTGACTCTAAAAGTCCAGTTTCCACGTAGAAACTGCATGGACTTTTATAGTCAGTTAACTCCCATGCCTCGGGAAGATGGCATGTTTAGTTTCGTAGCAACATTATGACTGTGAGTGTTTAACGACGATTTCAGAAATGTTCCAGCAATATCACGAAGGGTCAGCAAGAAAGGACTTTACACAATGTACCCTTTTAGAGAATCTATAGCTCGGGTTAATTCGGCGGGAGGAGCGATCGCTTTAACCACTGGGCTATCCTTCAAGGCTCATACTCCTGTAGCCTACTTATAAAATAGTAATCCCAAGTGTTACTCCTCACTGTACTGTACATATACTGTCAAGCACCCTGAACGAACAGTGCAGAGATGAAAGGAATGAAGGCCTCACCTTCAATCTAGCTGGGTTAGGCTAGGTGCTCCGGGTTGTCCCAGTTTTGTAGAAGTGTCAATAAAATTCACCACAGATGCTATGACGTCATCGTTCGAATCGAATTGGGTTCCGATTAGAGTTTTCTTCATGCTTGGGACAGAGCTAGATCAGAACAATAAGGTGGTGCTGAAGGATTTCAAAGCCACAGTCGTGTATTGTAGCCACTGCAATGACTACTTTGTACACTTTCGCGCTATTCTGATGTGGAAGAGCACACCTATTCTCAGCTTCCCGTGTCTCTTAGACTCAATTTCTTCCCCAATTAGGGCGGTGGGGTAGCCTTGTGGTTAGAGCGCTCGCTCGTCATGCCGAAGACCCGGGTTCGATACCCCACATGGGTACAATGTGTGAAGCCCATTTCTGGTGTCCCCCGCCAAGATATTGATGAAATATTGCGAAAAGCGATGTAAAACAATACTCACTCACTCTTCCCTAATTGCTTCAAAGGTTCACCATTATACGCGCCGTTTATAGTCGGGGCTTTTAGAAGACAGTCCACCATGATGACACCCTAACAACCAAGAACACGGAGCCATAACCTTTCCAGCTGATACCTTTGCCTTCTTTAGTGGTGGTGATGTTAAATGCTTCTACTGTTTTGATTGCTGTATGGAATCAGGCTAGAGGTTTCATCCACAGTCACAAATCGTTGCAAAAAACTTTTTTGGAGCAGCTTCAAAATAGCTAGATTATCACGAGACATGTGCCTGCTGCGTTTTTGATCAGATGTGATCTGAAGCTTTGGAACCCAACGAGTGGTTATTTTAATTGTTGATTGCCAAATATGTGAAATGGAATGCCCACTCTCCTGGGAAATGCATATTGAACTGACAATACTCCCCTGTCATGCTTTATTACGGTGGCATAGTCATTTAGGGGGCACATTCCCTACAGTGTTGAACTCATATCTCGTATGGATGGTTTTTAGTGCTACTGCTATAAGCCTTTCTTTTCTGCAAGTACTTGATCAATGTTTGTCCATTTTCCAAAGGTCATCGATCTCTGCTTATTGTACTGACCTGCACAGCGAAACAATTTGCCGATGCCTTAGTGGATATATATATATATTACTCTATGACATCATGTAATCCACAACAATATATCCCTATTACCCAGTTCCTTCTATGTGATGATATATATACACACACGCACGCACGCACGCACACACGCACGCACGCACACACACACACACACACACACACACACACACACACACACACACACACACACACACACACACACACACACACACACACACACACCACAGGGTATGAAAGTCCCCAAAATTTCAGCCAGACCACAGGACTGGCTACCTGAAATACTTGCCAGCCCTGACCAAAACCTGCCTGCCCACTATAATCATATGTTTCTCAGGATAAGCTAACGGGGTTTCTTTTTGGTTACATTTTATCATTCATCTTTACATGTGAATTAATGCTTATCATTGGGAAATATTTAGAATATTTTCACATATGAAATATAACCTGACCGTCGGGCAGGGGGATTTGAAAATCTGGCAGCCCGAGTTGAAATCAACCCGTCTCGGACGGTCGGGCAGGCAGGTATTTCGAACACTGTTATAACAAACTAAAATCAGTGGTCCCTTTGAGTTCATTATAACACTTTTCATGTTGGCGGAGCAGGAAACACACACTCGCCTGCAGAGGCCAACTTCGGCAAAGGGGTCGCGGAGACGTCGTGAAGGTCAGTATCTGAAAATAACTGTACAATTGGTCAGCTGCTGCCCAGTTGCACTGAGTGATCACGGAATGGTTTGGCCAATTTGGTTACTGTAGAATATAGTCAGGGGTTTGCCTGGCTGTCTGGCTGCAATCTGTTCTTGACACTAGTGTGGCAGATCAGCTTCTCTGGCTTATTGAGCTATATTGGAAGCAGCCTGCTTTTTGTTTCTTAATTTGAATGTGAAATATTTTAGTCAGCTTGAGCTCACCCTTGTTTGACAGATCCTTCGTTTTGGCATCAATCATATAGCTGCTGCTTAAAGTATTGTCTGGGTTGTGCTATGAAGTGTTGATATTTTGTGTGATTGCTGTTATATGTGCCGTGTCTTTGTACATGGCTACAAGCCAGGCGTTTTGAGAAAATGGACACCATTGTGACCCCCGAACAGCATGAACAGTTTAACAACCTTTGCTGTAGTTGATTTATTTCAAATGTTTTAGGCAGCAGCTATCATTAAGTGAAATTTTAGAATGAAATCTAGATGTGACAATTAGAACATCCTAACATCTCACACTGTAGTTTTTAAGAAAAACAAAATGCAGTCTTCCTGATTAAACAGTAATTTCTTCTTTCCTGGATCAAAAGTGATCCCACATACAAACATACATGCATGCATGCATGCATGCATGCATGCATACATACATACATACATACATACATACATACATACATACATACATCCACGGGAGTCTCAATCAATTCAGACAGACACCATGTATCGACACATGCTTATATATATGTACATTTATAACGTGTGTGAATTTGGAATAAAAGTTGAACTTCTCTCTCTTTTTAGTCTATTACAGACCAAATGCATATATCGATACATGGTGTCTGAATCGATTGAGACTACCGTGGATAGACTCTGTGGTTGTCCCGGAATAAGCCGATCCCGCCCGATGGGGGATAAAGGGAGACAATTTGTGACATTCCATATTCAAACAACATATTCATCAGAGAGAAATATTATATGACTGAGTGATATAATTTCACACTTCAAGCGGTCAATACTCGACAATATATGTTTGGTAAATTCAATTCAGGAATTTTACTTTTTTATTTGAAGACATTGCTGTGTTGGTACAGCCTAATCTAATCAGAGAATAGTAAGTTGTGAGCAATAGTTGTTCGGTAAACCGGATATTCTAGGTTAGACAAGGTCGTTGGCGAAAATGCCGTATACCAACGAGGAATATCTACCTAGTTATCAGGAATTAACTGTTCCTGAAATACAGCTAACATCAGCTGTATTAAGAGCAGGAGCACACCACTTTGGCAAATACTGCGATAATGTTTGCAAGGTTTGTTGGGATTTGCCACTTGCGTGACATAATGTCTTTCCTGTTGATGTCCCCTATATTCGTCAGGTTTCTAAATTCGTTATACTCAAGTCTCTTGCTAAATCGGATAAGCCTGTTTCATTAATCCCTCACTTGCATTCGAATTTAAAGTGTGTGAAGTCTTTTCCATTTATATTGCCCTCGGCCCGTACAATAAATACGCACTGCACATGCCATGTTCACACCAGCATCAGTCACACGATTCATATTTTGAAAGTGTTGACTTTGCATGCCACTGCCTGAGTGAAACCTTAAATTGTGTTGATTAGGGTGATCTGTTAAACATTTGTTATAATCACACGTTTTCAAGCTCCGTAATTCGCTCATTCTACATGCTTCACATTTTCCGAACTTGATTCACTCACTAAACATAATATTAACATTGTTAGAGAAGTGATAACATAACAGGCAATATTACTTTGTTGTCCTATCTGTCATATGTCACTGAATTAGACAGAGAAAAGAATTGCCAAGGAGCTAGTGGAGATGGTAGCTCATTTGACATGGCTGTCAGCCAAAATTGGAAAATTCCTTCACATGAGCGTGAAAAACTCAAATCAGCATGATCAATTGAAATGTCAGATATGATAGATGATTAACTGATTAAATATATCGTCACCTGATAATCTGATTGAACAATGCCTGAACATGTCAACTGCATCAATGTTAATTTCAGAATAAGCACGATTGCACCTTCTTATGATTAGATCCATACGTGCAGACTAATTATGCTAATCACCATATTTAATAAATGTTTCTCATATATCTTTCTACAGTTGTTCTTCACTCTTGGTCATAAGAGGTGACTAAATGGATCAGGTGGTTGGGCTTGGTGACAAAGTTTATTGTGTGTCATTGTACCCCGATGGCATGGATCACAATATCAATCACCGGATTGTCTGGTCCAGGTTAGGTTATTTACAGGCCTCCCATCATATAGCTGGAATATTGCTTGAGTGCAGCATAAACACCAAACAAACAAATCTTAGGTTTGGACTAAAATACAAAAAGTAAGATTTTTTACCATGATTGAATATGATTTGTGTTTTTATTCTCTAGGAGTTTATGCTGTGCCATTCAGAAGAAGGAGATCCCAGAAAATGCCTAAATGAAGGGAAAGAAGTTACCAAATGTGGATTTGATTTTTTCGGCAAGGTGAAGAAGAACTGCTATGAGGAGTTTACCAAGTACTGGCAGTGTATCGACCATTCAGGCCATGATATGAACTTGAAAAAGTAAGTATGGCCAAAAGAGTTCAATGTTAATCATGTTAATAGATGTCAATACAAACAATCAATCCATTGAACATGTTGAACATGTTGAACATGTGGAGATATTTCATTGAAAGTTCTGTTTGATCATGTTGTCGTGAATAAAAACCTCAAAGAACTGAACATAATTATGATTGATAAAAATATTTTATTTTATGTTGAAAATAGTTCCCATCATGCCAACTGCACATGTACTAATGTTTATCTAGTCTTTTAAAAAAGAATTCGGTTTTATTTTTGACATTTCATGCTGTGAAATCTGTAAAATCTGTTTTCATACAAATACATTAATGTTCTTGATGTATATATTTCAGTTGCAGACGCACACAGGCCCTATTTGACAACTGTGTTAAAGAAAGTCTGGGACAAGAACGTCCTCCTCTAGGATATTTTGCAAAGGTTCGAACCCATGACACCAACCGACTTAAACCTAAGCCCCACAAACACATCCTGCCAGACAGCCCGCCAGAGATCCCCCCACTGCCTGCTGAGCCCGACCCACGCGCCAGGAATGTACCAGGGATGTTATAGCATCCTAATCTCAGGGTGGTCCTCCTGTACATAGTGCTGCAGTGACTGTCTAGACACGATGGTAGTGTGCTGCCAAGGGAAACCTAAATCTGGATAAAATTATATTTAACTATAGAAGGTTCATGTTACCATGGTTTCCATTTAAATTAATTGTTTTATGGGAAGACACTACTAAGCTGATGGTCTGACTCTGCTGAGGCAAATTTTCAGTGTTATGAATTAGGTAATAAAGAGTGTGAAAGAGAACCTGTCTTTGAGTTGGTCACTGATATGTACTGACTGGGAAGATTTTGGCTTTGTGGACTAACACTATTTGACCACTTGGACCCTACTCAGACAATAATGGATTCTGGAGCAGCATAGGTGCCCAGCACCTCATGCTTTCTGTAAGTGTAGACTAATGTGTTTGTTTGTTGTTTAAGGCCTCACTCATCAATATTCCAGCTATATGATGGCGGTCTATAAATATTTGAGTCTGGACCATACAATCCAGTGATTGACATCATGAACATTGATCTACGCAATTAGGACATAACATGCATCAATCAATTCAGCAAGCCTGATCACCCTATCCTGTTAGTCGCCTCTTACGACAAACATAGTCGCCTCTTATGTCAAGCATGAGTTGCTGAAGACCTATTCTAACCCGGATCTTCATGGGTTGACTAATGTGAATCAGGTGGCAACATTATTACATTACAATGTGCTACCTGAGCAGTTGGTCGGCTTGCTTGGCTCAGGCTCTTTTATTTACAGGCTGCTGTAATATATCATGATTGAAATATTGTTGACTACATCATTTATATAACACAACATTCCCTCACCAATACTGTAATAAATTGACTTAGATTTTCTGGCTAAGAATTGGTTCCCAGCAATCTGTGCTGGTTGTAAGAGGCAACTTAATGGATCTGGTGTTCAGACCTGGGCCCACTTGCACAAAGCGATCTTAGCGCTAAGACTATTGTAAGCGTATGTTAAAGTATGGGCGTTACGATCATCTTAGCGCTAAGATAGCTTTGTGCAAGTGGGCCCTGGATGGCTTGGTTGATGGGTCGTTGCTCATAATATCAATCTCGTGAGTTTCTTGTTTCTGGTTATTTGTAGGATTTCTTTTCCACCTGCTTCATTTCAAAAGTTGCCTGTGGACAAGAGAGTCCTTCCATCATAATTTAGAAACTCGCCTCGTTAGCTAAATGAGGAAAAATACCAATTAAGCCAAAGTTGTCCTGATATATTATTGATTAAACTTTATATCCATTTCCATTCCGAATGGCACATTCTTCAAATTTTGGATTCAGACGAGTGAGTGAGTGAGTTTGGTTTAACGCTGCTTTTAACAGTATTCAAGTTACATCACGGCGTGTCAGCTTAACGTGGGAGGAAAGCCTGAAGTGATGCAGGTCTCCGACGTTTACCACTTCGGTGAAACCAACAAGCACGGGTATGGTGCTGACAAACCTGAAACATAATCAGGGCGAACAGAGATTCGAACCCACAATCATAGGTTTCTGGCGTGCCCAAGGGACGCAACTCTGCACAGCGAATCGAGGCACCTTAGATGACTGGGCCACCCGCACCCCCGATTGAGACAAGAATGATACTTATACAAAAAGTATTCATACACAGTAAAAAGTCAGAAAGATTTCTGGGCTTTTTACATGTAAATCAGTCAGATTGCCGCAAACACAATCACAAATTCGATTTACAATATATTTTACATTTCCACGCATTTGGATGTTTTACCTTGCTATGACCTTTGACCTCAGACCCCCATTTATCATGGTTATCTAGATTTACTGCATTTTTAACATCGCCATTTTATTTTTTATGATGGCTCCGTTATCTGCAGCATTTTGGCTACTACATCATGTAAGTTGTCTGAGTTTAAACAGGACTGAGTGAGTGAGGTTGTACTGTTTAGTGTATGGAATATCAGCTATATAACCACAGTTGGCCCAATGTAAACAGGACTGGAGTGAGTGAGGTTGTCCCGTAATGTGTGCACACTATTGGCTATATCACCACAGTTGGCTGGGTGTAAGGAGGACTGGAGAAAGTGAGGTTGTACTGTTTAGTGTGCAAACTATCAAACAGTTGGCTGAGTGTTAACAGGACTGGAGTGAGTGAGGTTGTACTGTAATGTGTGCAGAATATCAGCTACATAACCACAGTGGCCCAATGTAAACAGGACTGGAGTGAGGTTGTCCCGTAATGTGTGCACACTATTGGCTATATCACCACAGTTGGATGGGTGTAAGGAGGACTGGAGAAAGTGATGTTGTACTGTAATGTGTGCAGAATATCAGCTATATAACCACAGTGGCCCAATGTAAACAGGACTGGAGTGAGTGAGGTTGTACTGTTCAGTGTGCACAATATCAGATATATAACCACAGTTGGCTGGATGTAAACAGGACTGGAGTTAGTGAGGTTGTAGTGTTTAAAGTGCATTCTGTTTAAAGTGCTTGATTCTGATTGGTTAAAAAGAGGTTTCCTTTTTGCTATGGAATCCCCTTTCAAATATATTAAGCCTTTTCACACAAAAACGTGCGTGTGAATACATCGATAGCCTTCATATCGATTCATAAGAAAATGTCTCAACTACTAGTGTATCAGTCCTCAAAGAAAGTCATTGTTTGAAGTAGATTGTAGTATGTGTACACTCTGGAAATCTAGTCAAACATTTTGTGACGTGCCACTCTGATAGCGTGGATCTTTTTGTTGCCCAAAACAGGTTGGCCAGACCCAGGCCTACATTACACAGGTTGCAGAGTGAGTGAGTGAGTATGGTTTTACGCCACTTTTAGCAATATTCCAGCAATATCACGGCGGGGGACACCAGAAATGGGCTTCACACATTGTACCCATGTTGGGAATCGAACCCGGGTCTTCGGTGTGACGAGCGAACGCTTTAACCACTAGGCTACCCGACTGCCCCTCACAGGTTGCAGAGATACCGACAGCCAGGTTGAGTGCCGTGTAAAACAACCTTTATTTACTACTCTCCCAGCACAACTGATATGCGAGTTCGAGAGAAAAATAACACACTCTTAAAACTTCAATAATTTATTTTCTACAACTTTCAACATTCGTATATACAAAATATTAATATTGTACAAGTAATTCAGTATGTACACATAATATATAGTAACTACTGGACAAGGAAACTGTATATACAAAGTTGAAGCACTTGCAGAGACGATGTCTGTGTGTCCAGTGTTATGTTCACAGCATAGATTCACTGGACAGTCATTCAAAACAAAAAGTTGGACGGATTAAGAAATCTTTGTACAGAGATTTGCTGTGTACAGCACAATCTACTTCAATCCAAGGTTCACCACTGATGGCAGTGAACAGAAACAACACTAACAGTACAGATGGCCATGCATCTCATCCTGCAGCTGACCATTCAGTCTAAAGAACACATGAACAATATTGTCAGCATTTGAAATTATGCTTGAAAACAAAGGATTCTTGTCTTAACCATATAACAAGGAATAAATACCTAAGAGGTTCCTTAATACAAATACTAAGGTAGAAAACCTCAAGTATCAAAGGACCCTCCTTAATTTCTAACTGCATGAATAGACATACTTATATTGGCTGCAGAATTAAAACAAATGCATGGGCGGATACAGCTTTTTTGAAAAGGGGGGGTGCACAATTGAGATCTATTTATTGTCTTTGGTGGTAATTTATACAGAAATAAAGATTTTTTTCGAAAAAAAGGGGGGGTGCGCACCCCCGCTCTGTATCCGCCCATGAAATGGGTTCGTAGATCTCTTTAAGAGTTTTTTGCCTCTTTAAATCTAGTTTGTGTCAATGGAACAGTTATTTTATCACATATTTAATTATTAATATTCAGGTTATTACAAAGAAATGTTCCCTTCTTCATTTTGAACACTATTTCATTATGTTAATGTGGTACCGTGCCATCATAAAAAGAGAGAACAGCACACTGTATCACAGGAAATATTTCAACACAGTACGCCTGAGCATGACCATGAGCATGATAAGAATACTATATAATTGTGAGAGGTTTCTACATCTAGTGCCACTTACATGAATAAAAGAATATTTATTAACCATTAAACCCATAAATTAACAATCAGCATATTGTAAAATATGTAACAATACTGAGTGGATGAACAAAACAATGATTTTCACATTGGTAAACAGTCAGTTTATACAGAAAGTTAACCACTTCATAGCATAATGAATGATGATGGCTGTGAGATTCTTGTTGGGCAACTGGCACTGCAGTGTTCACAGACACAAGTCTAACTAAATGGTGGTTACCCTTTATAGAACATCACCTACTGGAAGAAAACTGCTTGTTGTTTAACACTGCACTCAGCAATATTCCAGCTATATGATTGCAGTCTGTAAATAATCAAGTCTGGACCAGACAATCTAGTGATTGACATCATGAGCATCAAAGTACATAATTGGGATACGATGACATCCATCAACCAAGAAAGCGAGTCTGACCACCCAATCCTGTTAGTCGCCTCTTAAGACAAGGCAGGGGTTGCTGAAAACCAATTCTAACCCAGATCTTCAAGGTGTCTGTGTTCGACGTGTCAGCTTTAAGTGGGAGGAAAGCCTGAAGTGATGCAGGTCTCAGACGTTTACCACTTCGGTGAAACCTACAAGCATGGGTATGGTGCAGACAAACCTACAAACATAATCGGGTCGAACTGGGATTCGAACCCTCAATCATAGGTTTCTGGCGTGCCCAAGGGACGCAAATTTACACAGCGAAACGCTGCGCCTTAGACGACTGGGCCACCCGTGCCCCCTGTCTACGCATGAAGAAGCTTACATGGCCGTATAAAAAAGTGAGATGAAAAAAACCAAAACAAGGTAATATTTTACAGAGAGGAATATATGTGATCAGGAATTAGGCTCTTGAAAAGGGCATTATTTTCTTCGAAACATTAGTCTGTTTACATAAATCATAGTTAGACAGATTTTTTAATAACAGATTTGATGGATATGTCAAACAAAAATTAAATATATAACTCTTTGCCAGGTCTGGTTCATTGGTCAGGTTAGTTATTTACTAATCTATTCAACAGTGGTCACGGGCAAATGATATCTTTTTTAAATCCAACTCGTCAATGTTTAATCAGAGCCAGTTGATGTTGACAAGTGACATGGACAACCAGAGTTTTGATTATGCTCCTGTCAACTATGGAGAGATGATCATCATTATCATGGGTAGCAAACAAACACTGGGTGAAGAGAAGCGTCAAAGTATTACCACACACATCTTAACAAGAACCATTAAGATCTAACAAGAAAAATGTACTGGCGTCAATATGACACTGCTACTGAAAATATTAGTGTATGTTTACTATGTGGACCATGTAAATACAAAGACACAGACAGCAGTAGTAGGTGGGTGGAGTTAGGGTTGGGTGAGCATCTTCCTGAGGCAAGGGAGTTAACTGACTGTAACAGCCACTGGTGACGCTACGATTAAGCCTTGGAATTCCAGCCTACTTCGGCAAGGGCGGAAACTGGACTTTTACAGTCAGTTAACTCCCTTGCCTCAAGAAGACCATACAGTGGTAAATACACACTCGGCATGATACACCAGGGCCCACATGCACAAAGCAATCTTAGCAGTATTGTTTCGTCAGTCCATACCAAAAACCTTTTGGTCCACAAGCCTGAATTTTGCCCTGGGCATCAATTTCAGTAGAGTTTAGTGTTATTATATGGACTATTGTCAGCTGAGCTTTCGAGATCAAATTGAATATTAGAAGACTCTGGCTTCGGACTAGTGGCTAAAGTCACACTGCTATAGTAAGTCCATGTTAAAGTATGGGAGTAACGATCATTGTAGCATCGAGATCCCTTTGAGCAAGTGAACCTTGGCCAACACAAATCAATGTGATGGTTCTGAAGCCATGATTTCATTATTAGAGCTAAATCTACCTTGAAATGAAAAGGTTATTACATTCAAAACAGTCATAGTGGAAGCCACTTATGTCTTCAGGGCACATCATGAATCTACTCACTCCACAACTAGGATGAGGCTCTTGTACCCAACACCCTGGCTACAGTTTTACCGCCGATCGTTTCATGGCATTTACCACTAACTTTTTTCAAAATCTAGAACCAACAATTGTTACTGTGGATCATTAACTACAAAACCCTTGGCTACTTCCGCCTTGAGTCCAAGACCTTAAACCTATCGTTCACCAATATCCTAATCTTCAGAACAGACATTTTTCATTTCTGAAAATCCACTTTTCAAAACTTCTGAAAAAATTAAATGTTTACTTCTTCATAAACATGTCATAAACGGATCTTGTTCGTCATGTCACAGGAACTGGAGATTATATGTGAGGCCGGAAGTAGTATAGACAGAAGGTATACAGTGGAAGAGGAGAAGACAAAGCATGTAGATAAGCAGATCGACATGAGGTACAAAACACATCGGGGCCGTTATCACAGACTGCATGAATGTTACTGAAGAGAACGAGATACGGCTGCAATCTCATTGAAATCAGATCTTAGTTCTCGCTACTGCTAAACAAAGATCTGAGGACATCCCATTAGGTGTCACGTCAGAACGACCTTTCATCCGACCAATCAGAGCGTTGCTTACCAGATCATAAAAGGGACAGTCGGAATTGTGATTTTTAATCATGCAACCTAGAAATTTTAACATGGGGTATTCCGAACGATAGTTACGGGTTTAACGACTGAATCCATACAACCTAGACCATATATTTGCCATTCCAGAATGTTCTTTTGTTTAGGTTTCAAATTTTTAATCGAGAATTTGTCAAAATATGTTTCGAAGAGTAGTCGCCAATTTGAAATTAGTGCCGTAAAGCACGAGAAAGCCGCCTTCTGATTGGCTAATGTCGGCTTCTTGTCAGTCCTTCCATTGGTCGGTCAAAATCCGCGCAAGGTCGGTCTGACGTGACCCGTAATGGGATGTCCTCAGATCTAGCGATAGCAAGAACTAAGATCTGATTTTAATGAGATTGTATTCAGGGGTAAAAGTAGGTGTATTCCGAGATCGATGGTTGGACCCCTATTTCAGCAAATATCAGTAAAAAATCCCAAAAGATGTCCACATGCAAGTGATAATGGTTATAAAGGAGTCATAATTCACTCATCATGCTCAAAGCAGGACCAAAAGAGAATTTAAAAAAATTCCCACAAAATGTTTTCCCTGAACAGACACTTTCTAGATAAATCGCTGGTATTATGGGGCTCGTGTGACAAACTCTACATCAAGTTCACCTGAGTGAGGTATAGTATCCGATAAGTGTACATGTTACAACAGCACAGTATAATCACCAACCATTCACCCACTAAATAGTGCATCCATACTCACAGTTAATAGAATGTGCTAACATCTAGAATCAAGAAATAACTGTTCTTATTGATCAATAATGTTTGTTGATATCTGCACACACTTGAAAGAAAATACAAACATGCTAAATAAACTTGAAATGACATTTTGAAAAACAACTTGAAACACTGTACTTCTTTGACATCTGTTAATGTCACCATAAAGATATCAGAATGTGATGAGGAGTCTTGTAATAAATACAATCATGGAAAACAAAGAGTGCCTACAAAATCAATGTCTAATCAAACGCATGTTACATACATATCTGACACTGATACCCTTGACTGTTAGGCGACTAGTTTTGTTCTGTTCTGTTGCTTAACAGATCCGCCAAATTGAAAAATAGCAAAATGAAAATAAAAATATAATGACTTTTCTGATATGATTTTAACAGTGCTGAATCCAAAAGTATAAAAGAATACAAATAAAAAAATAGCTTAACATGAAATATCATACAAATAAGTTTGTGTTGAAAAGAAGATTAATTGCCGAATACAAAATACATAGAGAAGTTTTGCCGCAAAATGTTAAGCGATGGCGACCGATAAGGGTGACGATATGAGATATCCGGATGGGATTCAAGTGCCTTGTTACCATTTTTTTTTTCAACTGTCGACATTGTAAGAACTCAACAAAACACTGTTAACCAACTAAAAAGAATCTTATCACCTAAAACAGTGTCAGAGCTCATACTTTATTCCTCAATACAAATCATCAAGAAATCTACCTGATGGACACAGTATCCCAATATCAAGCAGCCAGTGAATGTTGGCTGTTTCTCCATTAAGTACACACTGCCTAAGTCCGAGTGGAGAGTTGCATCACAGATAGAGTTTGTCAGCCAGGTGGCCAGGCCTGAACACACACAGGCAACCACACTCAAGTTGTGGATGTGGGATAAATAATGAGTGAGTGAGTGTGTGAGTTGGGTTTAACGCCACTTTTAACAGTATTCCAGTTATATCACGGCGTGTCAGCTTAATGTGGGAGGAAAGCCCGAAGTGATGCAGGTCTCAGACGTTTACCACTTCGGTGAAACCCACGAGCACGGGTATGGTGCTGACAAACCTAGAAACATAATCGGGGCGAACCGGGATTCGAACCCACAATCATAGGTTTCTGGCGTGCCCAAGGGACGCAACTCTGCACAGCGAATCGCGGCGCCTTAGACGACTGGGCCACCCGTGCCCCCGGATAAATAATGAAGTGAATAGGGTGTAAGAATACAGAGATACCGTTTCACATCATGATACACCTCCTCCGTTATTCTATAGTGATGCCATACCTCCAGTTCGACTGGTTGTCCCATACTCATGTTAGGGCGAGAACTAAACTGAAAAGCTTCACTAGCCTGGGTAAAGATAAAATGCCCTTGTAATGTTAAACAATGGGGAAATGTAGAATGTTGTACTAGACCGCAGGAATTTGTAGGAACTGGAACTACTGGAACCGACTCATTTGGAGGGCATGTGGGCATAGGAAGGGAAATTGAATCTTTTTGCAAATCAATTCACACATAACACTCATTACTGAAAGAGTGAAAGGGAGCCATCTTATTAATGATAACAACTGTCAACTTGGTAATGAGGAAATCTTAAATATCATATCCTAGTTCTCAAAATCAAAACTGTCTCCATAAGTTCGGGGATGCTGGTTGGTAGGTGATTGAGCAAACTACTTTTCTTGGTCTCCTCAAGGGATGTCTCATGACACAAGTGACAGCTATGTTGTTCTGATTTTGCTAAAAAGAGCGAGTGAGTGAATATGGTTTTACGCCGCTTTTAGCAATATTCCAGCAATGTCACGGCGGGGACACCAGAAATGGGCTTCACACATTGTACCCATGTCGGGAATCAAACCCGGATCTTCGGCGTGACGAGCGAACGCTTTAACTACTAGGCTACCCGAACCCCCTGTGCTAAAAAGAACCACATGTGCAAATGATCTGATATGTAGTCAACCTGAAATAATCCTCCCATGTATTGAGATTATATATATATACATAATCTCAAAAATGGAATATGTAACAGAGTGACCTCCCCTGTATTTTTACACCCCCCCACACAGATATGAAATGAGAATGTCATTACTCCACAATAAATACTGATGAATTATTACCCAAAATAACTCTTTTGAATCGTACAGATTTTAAATAAAAAGGTATATGGAAGTCATTTCCAAACATTTGTCTTCAGTAGAATTATAAAGTTTCAGCTTAAGAAATGTGAAGGTTACAGGGTGTTGTTATCTCGCCTGTAGATCCCCACCTGACCGCCCTGCTAGAACATAGCACCAGGAGAGAGGGTCATCATCACGACTTGGCAATACTCTTGAGCATCTTGTCAATCTTCTGGTCGTTCCTGATGATGTTGGACTTGGTAGCTGCAATGAGGTCCAGCTGGTCCTTAATTGCTTGGTCAAGTTCGGAAAGCTGGGCCTTGAGTGGCTCCACCGACCGGTCTGTAATGCTAGATGTAACAAACATAGAAATTTGTTAACTGGAATAATTTTCCTCAATCGAACACTGTCCTAAATACTTATAAGGAATCAAGTTTAGAAAAATATTTGTGTGCTAATTGAATGTAGGGATTTAATGTCGGGGAAGTGAAGTGCATGCATGTGTGTGCGTGTGCGTGTGCGTGCGTGCATGCATGTGTGTGGCTGCCAGTGGTGTAACAATACCGTGATAAAGTATTGTAACGCAATACGAGGCCAACCATGCAATACACCAATTTACGACCCCTGTATCGCGATATACATATGATACATTTTATTACCCTCAACTTACCCTCTCTCCCTCTTGAGGGCCAGTGAGTGTTCCTTGTTTTCAGATTTCCACTTCTCCAGCTCTTTCTGCATGGAGTCGAGATCTTCCTGCACATAGTCCATGATCTTCCCCAGCGGGTTGGCGCTTCGTGTCAGGCTCTGGATGCTGTTCCGCAGCTTGTTGATCTCCTTCTGTACAATCTCACGCTGTTTTCTCCTGGCAGCATCAGACATGGCTGGTCTTTCCTGAAATGCATCAAGTCGGTGAGTGAGCACGGTTCAGCACCACTTTAAAAAGTATTTTTCCTGCGAAGATCGAGGTTAGAATTGGTCTTAAGAAAACCTTGCTCGTCGTAAGACGTGACTAACATGATTGGGTGGGCAGGATTGCTGACTTGGTTGATGCATGTCATCGTATCCCAATTGCGTACATGTCAATAACTGGATTGTCTGGTCCAGAGTCGATTATTTACAGACCGCCATCATATAGCTGGAATATTGCTGAATGCGGCGTTAAACAAGAAAGAAAGAAAGAATTTCAGTTACATAATTGCATTCCAACCGTAAGATGAAAGCTCAAAGGGACGTAGGTTGTAGACGTTGCTGCATTGTTGAAAGAGAGATCAATTTTAGGTTGTATTTTTCAATAATAGGTTGCCCTGGCGCATGTTTTATACGTCTAAATCGAGTCCTGACACTGAACCATTATCTACCTGATTGGACTGAGTACCTTTCAGGGAGGGTGTATCCTCTGTCAGGCACATGTGAGGGGCGTTCAATAAGTTTTGCAACTTCAATATAAGACCAAGTCACAGAATATCTTTTGCACTTTTATTTGCTAAGCCTGGGCTGTAGGGTGGGCGATTTAACTGTACAGCCCAGACTTAGCCCCCAGTGACCAGTTCCTGTTCCAGCAAATGAAATCTGCCCTACGTGGAAGACGCTTCCAGGATGACGAGGACATAAAGGCTGCCACAGAGGTGTGGTTAGAGTGCCACTCTGCGGATTTCTATAAAAGTGGTATTTGAAGGACAAATGGAATAAGTGTATTGAGGTGAATGTAGATTATATTGAAAAATAAAAGTGCAAAAGATATTCTGCGGGTTGGTCTTATATTAAAGTTGCAAAACTTATTGAACGCCCCTTGTACTGTCAACAGCACAGAGAGAATTCAATTACTGCTAAATAAACTTCAGAAAAATCACCACATGACAACTGAACCTGTGGATCTGCATAACCCGTGCAGTCCATAACAGCAACAGGAGTGGAAGGTGGTATGTGGATGTGATGCATTGACAAATACACATAGAGCATGAACTCGAGATGCACTGTCATGCTGAAACAGCAGTCCCCTGTTTAATGGAAATACTTTCTTCTACAGCATGCAGAGTGCCTACTGTCCCAACATGCCAGTGTTTCTTTCTGAAGTTTGCTTAGCAGAAGGTTTCCACTATATACATACAATTTCAGTTTTCTTGGGAGGTCCACTCTGTTGTGGCTGACTTCCCTCTTCAAATTCCTTCTTTGTCTCCAGCATCTTCTTCACAAGAGCTCCTGTGAACAGTCAAAACTTCAAATACAGGTTTTTGGCTGAAAGCATTTACAACGTACCAATTTCTGAGCCAAACAGTCCTTGTATATCCCCTTAATGCCAAGCGCCAGACAGGGTAACAACAACTACCATCTTTAACATCTTTTGGTTTGACACGTCCGGGGATTGATCAACCGACCTTCTGCTCACCAAGTAGACGCTCTATCCACTAGACCATGAGTCAGAAAACGTACAACTTCATGGATAACATCTTCTGGTTTATTGCACATAGCATCGTTGCGATGTAGATTCTTAAACTGTCATCAAGCTGGTGCAAGAATTTACATCGAAATGTCGCTATATGCAATAAACCAAAAGTTGTATCCATAAAGTTGTACGTTTTCTTACTTACTCACCAACTTCTAGAATGCCAAACAAACAGTTAGACCATGGAGGCAGTCAAGTATAATATGTATCTAAACCATGCAAGTTAAATAATAAACCCACCGTGCTCAGCATCATCTTCCCCTTCCTGCTTGCTCAGCACCGTCTGTAACAGGACACAGAGACTCAAATACCACACTCATACAACTTGGCATACGGATACGGACAGGTAGATCCATTTTTCTTTTTAGAAACATTAATCTTGCAAATAGACAATAGTTTACAATTGTTGGCATAGCAACATCTAGTTGCCAATTTGTTCAGTTCAAGTCAGTTCAGCTACAATTGGGAATCAAACCCGGGTCTTCGGCAAAACGAGTGAACGCTTTAACCACTAAGCTACCCGACCTCCCCCTTTCACTGTGTGAAGCTCAAAAGAACACTGCCTGTACCGGCTCTGGCTCTGGTGGGGGTGGTGCAGACTCTTCTACCAGGAAATTCTCATCATCTTCATCAGACTGCTGGCCATTGTCCACGATTACATTGGTTGGGTGTCCACTGCCGAGTCTGAAACATGCACACAGTGTTTGTAGATGCTACGATAACATACAGTTGGGTAAATGGGAGCAGCCAGACCAGCACAGAAACCACAGCTGTACACACCTCATGGCTGGCCCTGACTCTCTACTTAAATACACTTGTCCCCTAGTCCTGCCATAGATCATAGACCACTTGAAAAACTCAGAGACTTGAAATATTCCAGTAAATATGTCAATAATACAGGTCACTGATACATGCAAATGTTTATCGGTCCAGGAGTAGAGTAGACCTTGCAGAGTACAGTTGCAGTGCTACCACTTCAAAAAAAAGGCTGATGCCAAAATTAGTCCCGTCCCCATATAATGCTATTAAACACTGTTAATAAAGGTGTATCGTTATTAAATGGGTGAGTAATTAACACCCATAACACACTGGCACAAGAGGAGCTAACTGACTTGTGTGAAAACTACATCTGTACACACCTCATAGCTGGCTCACTCTCTACACCATCTTGCTTTGGTCTCGGGGGAGCCGGGCGGGCACTGGACGGGCGCGCAATTCTCCGTCTGAAACGATGTGATTATTATGACAGAAGGAAGTGAAACACAATCTACAATAATCTTATGTCAGCAGTATCAGATTTCATTCCAGAAATGTATTCAGCAGACCAATTCTCAGTTCAGCTGCATGTATCCGATTCATAACATTCCTTTTCTGCTATGCAAATTCCCACAAAAGATCATGTCTCCTGGCTTCTACTAACATACATAAATTCTTCAGTAAGGTACCCTTCAGAGCTGCCAAAGGTCCCAAGTGTGAAGAGTGATGGCAAGGAAAATTTCAGATCTCTTGTTAGTAGTGCGTGAGTTTGATTTTACGCCGCTTTTAGCAATGTTCCAGCAATAACAGGGCGGGGAACACCAGAAATGGACTTCACACATTTTACCCATGTCGGGAATCGAACCCGGGTCTTCGGTGTGACGCGCGTACACTTTAACCACTAGGCTACCCGACCGCCCTCTTGTTAGTAGAAGCAAGCATCATGAAGCCATCACTTTAATCACAATCCACTAACCTTGACAGCTTGTTCTGACCTCGATCCACCAAACAGGGTTTCATATTCAGAGACAATGACTAATTGCTATCCAAAACGTGCACAATAACCTTTTTCAAAATTGATGACTGAGAAACATGTCACAAATCACAAATTCATAAAAGCATGAAAATGTTTCAGATGTCATGTCGCCAGCAGAAGCACTGCCGACAAGTAGGATTTACTCACGCATTGGCCACCTGGGGTGGCAGGTCGGCTTCCCCCACCGCGGGCTCCTGCTTCTGCACAAACTCTTCATCTTCTGAAACATCAGACATGCAAGGTGTTGAACTGTTGCTGGTGTATTACTCCTACTACATTCCAGAACATGTTTATCTGCGGATTTAGCCACTAGTCAGAAGCACGAGTCTACTACAATTAGCTTAATCTAGTCCTTATGGCAAGACTAAAATCTACTGACAATAATGCCCAAATAGATGTTTGTGCAAGTAAGCTCCAAAGAATTTGGCACCGACTGGGATAAGCACTTTATCTTTTCTGATTTAGGACTGGAGGTTTTACTTTCAGTAAGATTAAACAGCACCTGTTTGCTGTGGTGTAATACTGCTTAGTTACTTAGTACTGACACAGTATTCACTGGTATATGCAACAATCCTGAGCTTGCTGTGGTGCAATATGGCTTAATTACGTAGTACTGACACAGTATTCACTGGTATATGCAATAACTTGAGCTTAACTTGGTGTGATTCTGCTTAATTACGTAGTACTGACACAGTATTCACTGGTATATGCAACAACCCTGAGCTTGCCTTGGTGCGATACTGCTTAATTACGTAGTACTGACACAGTATACACTGGTATATGCAATAACCCTGAGCTTGCTGTTGTGCGATATGGCTTAATTACGTAGTACTGACACAATATTCACTGGTATATGGAATAACCCTGAGCTTGCTGTGGTGAGATATCGCTTAATTACATAGTACTGACACAGTATACACTGGTATATGGAATAACCTTGAGGTTGGTTGGTTTGTTGTTTTACGCCGCACTCAGCAATATTCCAGCTATATGACGGCGGTCTGTAAATAATTGAATCTGGACCAGACAATCCAGTGATTGATATCATGAGCATTGATCCACGCAATTGGGATCGATGACATGCATCAACCAAGTCAGCGAGCCTGACCACCCGATCCCGTTAGTCACTTTTTACGACAAGCATAGTCGCCTTTTACGGCAAGCATGGGTTGCTGAAGACCTATTCTACCCCGGATCTTCGCGGGTTGAGCTTGCTGTGGTGCTGTACTGCTTGATGTAAGTGAAAGCTTACAGAGACGGGAGAGGAACACTGGGATACTAAGATCAAGACTACAACACTAACAGTCTGCAGCAGATAGTGCAACGACAATACATCAAGTTGTACCACGACTGACACAGCTTGAAGACAAACTGTCATAGTATACAGGGAGAGAAGAAAACACCCAGGGACAATGACAACAAAAGTTACCTTTTACATCAACTGCTAATAATTTTTAAAAAAATAATTAAATTTTGCTAATTAACCATGACAAGACAATTTAGAGAATTTAGATTACACAACCTGAACTTGACATATGAATTCCCCATCACCATTGTCAGAGAAGTAATGAATAAAACATAATCATGATAATAGATTAGATGAAACATAAATAATTCTCAAAAAATCCAATGTCTATGTTTTTACATGCAGTCATGCTTTGAAAGAGACAGAGAGAAAGTATACAACTTAGTCAATCTCATTAAAATCAGATCTTTGTTCTCGCTACTGCTAGACAAAGATCTCAGGACATCCCATTATGGGTCACGTCTCAACGACCTTTCGGGAATTTTGACCGAACAATTGAATGACTGACAAGAAGTTGACAATAGCCAATCAGAAGGCAGCTTTCCCAAGCCTTACGGCACTAGTTTAAACAGTCAGGGCCACACTTAAAAAATATGTTGACGAAGTTCTCGAAGAAAAATGTGAAAACTGAACAAGATGACATTCTGGTATATCTAACATATGGTCGCGATTGTATGGCAGTACCCTCACACATGCTATGCAATGTCTGTTCCATACAAATGTTTATCCCACTGAAACGAGAGACTTGCGATGATTTTGACGGAATCAGTCATACAGGCCATAACTGTCGTTCGGAATACCCTGTGTTAACCTTTTCGAGGTTGCATGATTAGAAAACACATTCTGTCTGTCACTTTCCTGATCTGGTAAGTGATGCTCTGATTGGTCGGATGACATGTGGTTCTGACGTGAACCATAATGGGATGTCCTCAGATCTTTGTTCAGCAGTAGTGAGAACTAAGATCTGATTTTAATGAGACTGACAGTTTAGTGGAACATGGTTTGCAGTCCTTCACCAGTCTTTACCATAACTTCACCTACAACAAAAAACCTTTAGGATGTGTGCTCAACTGTATGTTTGTCATTCCCACTGGCTTTCAAATCTGTCTTCTAAAACATGTGACATAGGCTTTGGCTCCAAGATGGAATTGTTCTGAATCCTTTACCGTTTGCTGAAGTTCATATTCAGAAACCAGTCCAATTGAAATGATCCATGGTTTACTGTATATTGATCAGCACCGCTAGTACTTGATCTGACTCGTTTACAAGTTGAAGTGGATCTATTGTTTGTTTGTTGTTTAACACTGCACTCATCAATATTCCAGTTATATGATCGCGGTCTGTAAATAATCAAGTCTGGATGAGACAATCCAATAATTGACATCATGAGCAATTGAGCATCGAGCTACGCAACAACCAGGTCAGTGAGGCTCGTCCTTATCCCACTAGTCACCTCTTATGACAACCATGGGTTGCTGAAAACCAATTCTAACCCACATCTTTGCAGGTTTGAACTGGATCTAAATCTTGGTTACATTCTGGAATCAAGCCTCCGGCCACTTTGTCAGCGTGGGTCAACTTGTATATCAAAACTGACCAGTATCTATATATGAAATGTGTACACAACCAATCTGGTGAAATTCATCAATAACTGCTCATGTCATCACATAGACACCAGCCCACTTCCATTATTTTGTTACCATAGTTACATTACCTCTGGCCTATTACCATTTGCCTGATCTGTTCACCAGCTTTAATCTGTCACACGAGGGATGATACAAAATACTACATTTATCAATTGCCAATCCTACTTCTGAATGTTATCACCAGGAAATCAGTCCAAAGCAAAGTAGGCATTACTTAACTATTTAATATTGACTGATTATCAAACTTGATCTGTCTTTGTTTAATAAGTGACTGTTTAAAACAACTGTGGTCGTAAACCGTCAATATTTATTGTCACCTGGAAACAGTGGAACTGACAAGGAGCCATTATGTTAACTCTACTGGCCAATGACCAGGTGAGTTGAAATACAGAGAAAGCATTAGTACTGACCGTAGTAAAGCCACTGCTGATAGTGATATAAGCATGACAGTTACATCATGTACTCCTCTTATTAAAGCAATTTACTGAAACAGGTTCAAATATGCAGAAAGTAAAGATAATTTGTTTTCTCCACTGATGAAGTCAATACTTAAGCTTAATCCTTTTGGGTACAACGATAAAAAAGAGGTTACACACAAGAATTTTGTTTGTTTGTTTGTTTGTTGTTGAACAGCAATATTACAGCTATATGAGGGTGGTCTGTAAACAATCGAGTCTGGACCAGACAATCCAGTGATTGACATGAGCATCGATCCACACAATTGGGATACGATTACATGCATCAACCAAGTCAGCGAGCATGACCACCTAATCACGTTAGTCGCCTCTAACGACAAGTAGTGTCGCCTTTTATGGACAGACACAAGAAAATACCAGTAATAACAGACCTGAATTCACCATTCAAGGTCATACTGGCATGTCAGGATGCAAAGTGATTTTCTCAATTATTATTACATTTTCAACTTGTTCAGTAATCTCAACTACAAATTCACTTAACACTTGTTTGTTTGTTATTTAACACTGCAATATTCCAGTTATATGAAGGTGGCCTGTGAATAATTTAATCTGGGCCAAACAAACCAGTGATTGATGTTATCAGCAATGTTCTAAGCCATTGGGATACGATGGAACTTCATCCATCCATTTTGTCACCTTGTTTGACAAGCATAGATTGATGAAGACCAATTCTAATCCAGAATCCCCATTGGTCAATATCATTTTGCACTCAGCAGGATTCCAGCTATTTATGATGACCCATAAATCTGGACCAGACAATATAGTGATTGACATCACATGCATTGATAAATGCAATTGGGACACAATGCCATGCATCAACAAAGTCAGTGAGCCAGTCTCCCAGATAGTTGTCTCTTACCGGCATGGGTTACTAAGGACCACTTCTAGCCAAAGTCTTGTTAAATATCAAACATCACACCCAGCATATATTCATATATAAATATACATGTATCTCACAGCTTCATTATTCTATATTCAGCACATCAGTACTGACTCCAAGTCGTATGGAAGATCTTACCTTCCATCATACCATAAGGCGGAAGACTTCCGCCTTCAACGGACATAAACATGATAAATGCAGCACAAAAAAAACTTATCTAAAGTGTTCAGTAGTGAGTGAAGTGAGGTGAGCTACAATGTCAAGAGTTAGTACGACAGTCAGACTACACTAAACAAGCCAGAGATACGAGTAGACTACAATACGAGCCCGGGATAAGACATACCTTCTTCACTGTCCGCAGCACGGCGGCCTGTAGTGTAAGTAAAACAATCAAACATGCCCAGGTTAGTGCAGGTAGGTAAGGGAGGTAACTCCGCTAGCATGACTTGGACAGCAGTTATGAGTGACGGAATGCACACTGTCAAATCATGCACTTCCAACACTAAATGACATACAGTGTCAGCATCCAACTTGATCTGTCTGTCGTAGATATTTCACAATATATTCTGTCAAACGGTATGACATTCTTAGAGTTCACCATGGTACCTAACTTTAAATTGATACATCTGAGATTTAGCCAAAAAGAAACATTTTCCGTACAAGATTTTGGTTTCTTCTTTTGGAGCATAAACGTGCTACTAATAATTCAACAAGAAGAAAGACACACTCAGATTAGTTTCTGCTACAAAAGTGGGATCACTTTTGATCCCGGAAAGAAGAAATTACTGTTTAATCAGGAAGCCTGCATTTTGTTTTTCTTAAAAACTACAGTGTGAGATGTTAGGATGTTCTAATTGTCACATCTAGATTTCATTCTAGAATTTCACTTAATGATAGCTGCTGCCTAAAACATTTGAAATAAATCAACAACAGCAAAGGTTGTTAAACTGTTCATGCTGTTCTGGGGTCACAATGGTGTCCATTTTCTCAAAACGCCTTGCTTGTAGCCATGTACAAAGACACGGCACATATAACAGCAATCACACAAATATCAACACTTCATAGCACAACCCAGACAATACTTTAAGCAGCAGCTATATGATTGATGCCAAAACGAAGGATCTGTCAAACAAGGGTGAGCTCAAGCTGACTAAAATATTTCACATTCAAATTAAGAAACAAAAAGCAGGCTGCTTCCAATATAGCTCAATAAGCCAGAGAAGCTGATCTGCCACACTAGTGTCAAGAACAGATTGCAGCCAGACAGCCAGGCAAACCCCTGACTATATTCTACAGTAACCAAATTGGCCAAACCATTCCGTGATCACTCAGTGCAACTGGGCAGCAGCTGACCAATTGTACAGTTAGTTTCAGATACTGACCTTCACGACGTCTCCGCGACCCCTTTGCCGAAGTTGGCCTCTGCAGACGAGTGTGTGTTTCCTGCTCCGCCAACATGAAAAGTGTTAATTAACACTTTAGAGTGTAAGGTGCAAGGTCAGATTTGCACTGATATACTGTTTTTCATTTTCTGATGTACAGTAAAGAATGGTTATAATGAACTCAAAGGGACCACTGATTTTAGTTTGTTATAACAGTGTTCGAAATACCTGCCTGCCCGACCGTCCGAGACGGGTTGATTTCAACTCGGGCTGCCAGATTTTCAAATTCCCCTGCCCGACGGTCGGGTTATATTTCATATGTAAAAAATATTCTAAATATTTCCCGATGATAAGCATTAATTCACATGTAAAGATGAATGATAAAATGTAACCAAAAAGAAACCCCGTTAGCTTATCCCGAGAAACATATGATTATAGTGGGCAGGCAGGTTTTGGTCAGGGCTGGCAAGTATTTCAGGTAGCCAGTCCTGTGGTCTGGCTGAAATTTTGGGGAGTTTCATACCCTGGTTATAACCATAGTTTGTTGTAAGTATTTCAACTGTCAGACATCTTAATGACAAAAAATACATAACATAAGTAAATGTTATACATATATTATTGATAGTTTCATTTACATTCATACACAAGAGTCAATTGTCAACTGAGTGTGTAAAATTGAGGATAAGCTTAAGGTGTCAGTACTTCATCCAGTAAATTACTAGCCTTCAATTGTTTATTGTCTTGAGTGTAAAAGGTACAGGGATTCAAATCCATAATCATAGGTGTCTGGTATGCCCAAGGAACACAACTCTGCACAGCGGATGCGGCGCCACCTGTGCCCCCGCCACTTTATGAGAGAGGACTGTCCTATCTGCCCTGTCACGTGAAGGATGCAATCAATGAGTTCCTCACCTGCTTGTTGTGTTCCTCGCCATTCACCATCTTGTCACCTGCCGGAGACTCGTTTTCCTTCCCAGGCTCATCTCGCTGGAACACAACCATATCACCATGTCAACAACCATAATACATCCATACAAGGTCTGAAGGTAATATTAACTGGATATTACTGAACTTCAAATTGCAACACCAGTTAAAAATGTCTGCACCGCAGGAATGATTAGTTTGAGGCTGAGATGGATGAATCAATATCAAGATTATCATGAATATTGAACAGTGTATATCATTACTGATCCTATATATAGAAGTTAGTAAAATCTAAATATTTTTTACATTTGTATACTTATCCTGCATTACTCCTTAAACGTAGTAATGCATGATAAGTAAAAAATAGACAAAGTAAAATGTTCTTGTCTTCAGACACTAGTCTGAGACCTGAGACCAGCAAAACCATGTTTTGGTCCGGAATTGCTTGATGACTGTTGAAAAGAAGGACTAGAATAGTATCATGACTATTTGTATAACAAGAAAATTTTCAGCTTCGGATGCTTTGGAGTATCAACCGTCAATGCAGGGATGAGAATGGATATTTTCCTTTTCAGCTGAAACTTTCTTGCAATGGAGTGTGGTCATAATTTGGTCATTTATAGGGGAAGCCTTCAGATTTTAACAAATTTGTGGTCCTTAAAATTCACGGATCAGCGTGAGATTCTCATCCCTGGTAATGGTATGGAGAATGATCAGTTTTCTTAATGAATAAGTGTACACAAAATAAAAAGTTGAAAGCCTATCAAAGACTTGAAAGGAATGCGAAACATGAACATGCAACATCTAAACATAAAAACAACACGAACACGAAAAGTCAAAGAGTCAACATATTGAACAAGTTCAAGGAACAGTGAACACTTCCAATGAACGCAACAGCAACATGATGACATAAACCTGGGATGCATTCATCAGATGGGGCATCATGGTGAAGCTGCTCTTGCGACGTTTATCTGGTGCTGTTTGAGAGGAACGCCGCGGAACTCTTGCATCCCCGGGAGTCTTAGGAGTCGTGGGACTGTCTTTACCCTTAGAGTCTGTCAACTTTCTCCTTGAGGAGGATGCTATGTCACGTTTCAGTGTACTTGAACTTGACTTTGAGTTTGACCTTGACAAACTTTTACCACTTTGTTTAGTCTCTAGCTGCTTGGTGCCACTTTGTTTAGTCTCTAGCTGCTTGGTGCCACTTTGTTTAGTCCCTAGCTGCTTGGTGCCACTTTGTTTAGTCTCTAGCTGCTTGGTGCCACTTTGTTTAGTCTCTAGCTGCTTGGTGCCACTTTGTTTAGTCTCTAGCTGCTTGGTGCCACTTTGTTTAGTCTCTAGCTGCTTGGTGCCACTTTGTTTAGTCTCTAGCTGCTTGGTGCCCCTGGGGGGGTTGACGGAGTCTCTTCTGGCACTATGGTCAGAACTGATTCTCTCCTTTTCATTCCTCACACCCAGACGACTCTTAATCCCAGTCTTCCGTTTCTTGTCCACTTCATGTGACTTAAAAGACACACTATTAGCTGATTCATCATCCGAGCTCTCATCCCCTCGTTTCATTACAGGCATTGGTCTCTCTGACCTCCTCCGAGCACCACGTGGGCGGTCAGCCCTTGATCGAGAACTCAAATTAGCTTTTGTGCTTTCTTTGTGTTTTTCATCAGTAGATGTCGACTCTTCCTGCTTGGTTGAACTATGTTTCCTCCTGATCTTGACCCTCCCTTCTGCTTGCAATTGGGTCATTTCTTCATCTTGTGACTCTTTATCAGAGTGACTTTCCTCGGACCGCCCACTTCCGTCTTGACGCAGCTCATGCTACCAGACAACCACAGGAGTCAATGTGTGAATGTTGCATAATGCCGCAGTCAGCAATATTCCAGCCATATCACAGCACCCAATCAATAGTAAAGTAGTCTGGTAGACCATACCATCAGGGCATGATGACACACAATCAGCCTAGTTACAGAGTATGACCACCAAAGCCAGTGTCAGTTGGCCCTTACAACAAGCATGATCTACTGGGGACCCAGTCTGACCGAGAGTCCCCACAGGACAGACAAACACTGAGTGCAGCAGGATACACAGTAAATATCCATACATGACAAATAAGTGATGGTACGATACACTCATGTTTATTAAAACCATACACAAAGAGTTTAAATTGTTTTCAGTGAACAAACTTAGTTCATACTTTGATAAAAAAACACTTTTCATTAATAGTTTTTTGGCAAATATTTCCCCCTTCTGCCCTGCTGTTTTCTGAAAACAACCTGATATATATACAAGAATATATGGACCTCTGAAATCATTTTCTGTTCATTAATCATTTTGTTTATTGTTTAATGCTGCATTCAGCAATATTCCAGCTATATGATGGCGGTCTGTAAATATGCGAGTCTTGAGCTGACAATCCAGTGACTGACATCATGAACATCGACCTATGCAGTGGGATAATGACATGCATCAACCAAGTCAGCCAGCTTCACCACCTGATCCTGTTAGTAGCTTCTTGTGACATGCATTGGTTGTTGAAGACCAATTCAAACCCGGAGCTATTTCAAATCACTGATGTGTGAGTGAGTGAGTGAGTATGGTTTTACGCCGCTTTTAGCAATATTCCAGCAATATCACGGCGGGGGACACCAGAAATGGGCTTCACACATTGTACCAATGTCAGGAATCGAACCCGGGTCTTCTGCGTGATGAGCGAACGCTTTAACCACTAGGCTACCCGACCGCCCCTCACTGATGTGTGTGCATGAATGCTTCCACCGACATGTTGCCCAAGATGAGGGTACTCACCTTCTTACGCCTGTGCTCTCGATCCTTGTCACGGTCTCTGCTCCTATCTTTGTCTCTATCCCTGCTCTTTTCTCTGTCTTTTCCTTCATCTCGACTCTTTTCTTTTTCCTTATCCCTGCTCTTTTCCCTATCCCTTGACTTCTCCTTATCGTCACGACCCTTATCTTTCTTCTCCTACAACAAGCGACAGCAATGTGAGAGGAATGTCCCAAGCTAAACATGCTTCAGATGTTGTGAACTTGGGTAAAACATCATGGATCAACAGGAGTTCGAACTAAACAGAAAAGCTTTACTAGTTTGGTAAGATATAATGTCCTTTGTATGTTAAAACAATGGGGAAATAGGGAAATTTGTAATAGCTCACAGGATTTCGTACTAGCACCAGGCTAGTGGGCCAGTGTTAATTTCTAATCCTGGATCATAATCAAGGCATCATCAATACGGTGGTATGTGTTTGTTTGCAGTCAGCTGATGAAATGTGACCGAAAATAACTCACCGAAGTCACATGAGCCACACTTGGTGTTAACCATTCAGCAACTTCTACCATGCTTGACGCAGGGAGTGACACTAATTTGGCTATGGTCTATTTTGCATGCTTTGTTAAATAAAACGTTATGTTATCTGAAAGCTCACTGGTCAGACCAGTGACATGCCTCTCTGGGAGCAGGATATGCTTGATCCATTGATCGTAATACTACAAGGCATAGCAGCATGGAGGATAATATGCATACAAGCTTGTGAAGGATTGACCAAGGCACACAGTGGGGATAACTCTGAATGGCAGATACTGAATTGCTACCATCACCTAAACCACCATTCTATCTTTACCACTATATCTTTACAGCACGTGAAGTAAGAAAATTATTACGATTCAAACACAGAAACAACATTTTTATCGATACACTGATATCATGAAACATGATGACATCCCTATGTACCAATTCCCATTTCTTCAACACTCCACCATTAATTTATTGTAGGCGCCCAGAGATATTCATTTTCAGAAACTGCAGTAATTTACACTTGCAAACTAAAGACTTGCATGGGCAGTATTGGATATATTTAGTTCTGGGTCTGTATGACAGACCATTGGTTTACCTCCGATTCCTTTTTCCTTTTGTCAGCACTACGTGACCTTGACTCCTTCTCCTTGTCCTTCTCCTTGTCTTTCGTCTCGGCTCCTCCCCCGCCTCCTTTTCCCTTGAGAAGTTTCTTCACATACTCGTCATTATTAACCTATAGGATGAAATAGTTCCATTAAAAGACACACAATCACTGCCACAGAGAGAGAGAGAGATAGAGTGAGAGAGTGAGACAGAGAGGGTCTCTCTTTTACAGACTAATACCAAGTTTATACTGCTAGCCCACTAGCCTCATAATAACAGGTATTGTAACAACAAGCACCATCTCTTAACATCTTTTGGTATGACGCGGCCAGGGATCGAACCCTGGACCTCCCACTCGCCGGGTGGACGCTCTACCACTAGACCATGGAGACAGTCTTAAGGGCTAGGAGAATTTCAAACATTTGGGGGAATATAGCAATATGATGATACCCACCTTCATTTTGATAGCCTCAGCAAGCACCTGCAGGAACTCATTTGTCTTCTCTGGCTCATGTCCTGCCACTATCTTCTGTGGTCGCACTGCCAGAGACTTCCCAGTTACCAGGGCTGCAATTGGGCATGTCAGGTGAATCAGTGAGTGAGTGAGTGAGTTGGGTTTTACGCCGCTTTTAACAGTATTCCAGTTATATCACGGCGTGTCAGCTTAATGTGGGAGGAAAGCCCGAAGTGATGCAGGTCTTAGGCCTTTACCACTTCGGTGAAACCCACGAGCACGGGTATGGTGCTGACAAACCTAGAAACATAATCGGGGCGAACCAGGATTCGAACCCACAATCATAGGTTTCTGGCGTTTCCAGGGGACGCAACTCTGCACAGCGAATCACGGCGCCTTAGACGACTGAGCCACCCGTGCCCCCCTCAGATGAATCAGGTACATGTATACTGCTGACACAGACATGATGAAAAGACAGAGTGAGGAACAACAAAAGAAGAATGTATCTTGCTTCCCCATGGAGATCTGGCTTAGAATTGGTCTTCAGCAACCCATGCTTGTCGTGAGAGGCAACAGACGGGATTGTGTAGTCAGGTTCACCGACTTAGTTGATGCATGTCATCGTATCCTATTTGTACAGATTGAAGCTCATTATGTCAATTACCGGATTGTCTGGTCCAGGTCTGATAATTTACAGACCGCCATCATAAAGCCGAGTGTGGCATTAAATAACATTAACAGACAAACAAAATCGTCTTGCCAGCAAAGACATGCAAAATATGGAGAATAATACAACTCATGAATATTGTTATCCCTAAATGGAATCATGTACCATGATGTACAATGCTACAGCGTCACAGAAATAAGCAGTTTGGTCCCGCACTCAATCACATTTCATTAACCAAGGAGTTTGGTGTATCAGCAGTTATTTCACCAAATGTTGGATTAAATATGAAAATATATTTCAGTGAAAGATAGTCACAGAATCATTTGGGTTGGACTTGAACATAACACCTCATGCTAGAGCATCAAAGCCATATATGTCTGTTGGGCAGGTTGGGTGCCAGTGCTGGATGACACACTTGATACTTACAAACCATATCAATTGCTTTCTGAAGGAATGCCACTTTGGTCTCCTTTTCCTGAAATGTAAAAGATAGTGTTCAGCTGTAAGACAACATAAAAGCATTCAACCATGTACTAATTCCTAATAACTGATGTCAAAATTAGGTTAGTTTTAGATGACGATAGCATTAGGTCATATTGTGAAACACGAACACAGCCATCAACATGGTCATGATAGTGTAGTACTGCCATCATAAAGTAGCAGTAGGATTACAAAGGGACGTTGTGACAACACATTTTGGACACAATCCTAACAAGTATTGTAACCTCTAGCATGTCTCGTGACTTTATATCACCAGCTGGAGTGAGTGGGTAAGTTGGGTTTTAACGCTGCTTTAATTAAAAAAATAATCCAGTTATATCATGCTTAATGTGAGAGAAAAACCCGACGTTATGCACTTCTCAGACATCTACCACTTTGGTGAGAACACCGAGCTTTGAAATTGTGCTGACAAAACAAGAAACATAATCTTTGCAAACCTGGATTCGAACCGATGATCATAGGTCTAAGGCATGCCCAAGACATGGCTCAATTAAGGAACCTGTTTCAACATGTACCAGGTGCATGTGGACAAGAAAACCGAGTTGCACTGGACAAATCAGGATCCACCCTGGTCCATAAATTTATCAAAGCCGAATCAGAGATGCATAAACTTGCCTAAATAAAATAAGTCTCAGATCTCTGATGACTGTGTCACAAGTTTACTGACAAGCCCAAGAAAGCATGACAAATTACACAAAACAGTGTTTGTTTGTTGTTTAACGCCGCACTCAGAAATATTCCAGCTATATGACGGCGGTCTGTAAATAATTGAGTCTGGGCCAGACAATCCAGTGATTGACATCATGAGCATCGACCTACGCAATTGGGATACGATGACATGCATCAACCAAGTCAGCGAACCTGAACACCCGATCCCGTTAAGTCCCCTCTTACTACAAGCAGAGCCTCCTTTTACGGCAAGCATGGGTTACTGAAGACCTATTCTACCCCAGATCTTCACAGGTCTCCTAAAACTGTTGTTAGTGGTGTAGTATTAAACAGTGGTTAGTGGTGTAATATGGTACATAACATGTATAAAGCCTTAAGGTAATGAGCGAGTTCAAAAACTGTTGCTGGGTTGAAAAGTAAGGGTCAGACACAAATTTGAATTTGTTTTACATGCACCTGGTGCACAGAGACATAAATAATTGGTCGTGCTTTTCAACATGTTGCAACGGTGCATGTTTTATATGGTTAATTCGAGCCCCGCAAGGGATGTAACTCTGCACAGCGAACTACTCACCAGTTGGAGCTTGATATGAGCATGACCATGTTGATCATTAATATGTACTTTTTAGAGTAAAAATATCATTTGTACTTATCCTGACTCATACTTATTACTCATGTGTACGAGTCAGGATAAGATAAAATATACAATTCTAACAGTTATTGTCATAATCATTGTTATACTTCAAACAATACATTATTAATACATGTTCAAAACTTACCTTGACATTTTCAGAGTTCAATTCAGAATCAGTAAACAGTCCATTCATAAACCCTGTTGTCTTGATGACCTGCAATAGAAAAACTCATTATTATGCATTCAATAAATAACTGTAAATATGAGACTTACTCATTCTTCTTAGGCTACAGTGTTACAAGGTGTAATCAAACACATCTTCTCCATGTGAGATATCTGAGGATTGTATTAAGGGATAAAAGTGTTCAAAGCTTAACTTGAAACTGAAATGTTACTTATAGGGGAAAGGTAGGAGGATTTGTACTGAAAATATAACCCTCCCCTAATGCTAGTAATATTTTGTGATGACCATCCCAACCATGTCCTCAAATATTTTTCATTTTTTTCATGACCCTCCCTGAAAAATGCAAAAACACTTTATATTTCTTATAATTTTTATGACAAAATGTCCATTTACCCTCCCATAGAGGCTGTTCCCCCCTCCCATAAAAAATGCGCTGTACCTAGGGTAATACATGAAATTTTGCCTTTCATCTACACTAAGATATGATCAGATTGTCTGCTTCCTTAGACTATGTAACAATATCTACTTTAGCTACTAGTCAGAAACCCAAGTCTAGCAAGCTCAGGTTATAATACTCCAAATGATCAGTTAAAGGGCAAGTTCACACGGAAATGAACCAATTTTTCTTGTACTTTTTCCACATTAAAAGTGTTAACATAGAAGTGTCATAGACAAAAATATAAAAACATCATATTTAATTAACATATTTTTTGCATTAAAACGATTTATATTTTTCACATTTACTAAGTGTTCTATTTCCATAACAAAAACACCATGGCTTATGCCCCTTGCAATATGACGTCCTTGGTGCCAATTGATAAACATTATGACGTCATCATGCTTTGTTAGAGCCGCTTCACGTGGTGTAGGTACAGTTTTGTGATTTTAGCGTCTCAGATGCCAGCCAGAATTGTGTTATACTGAGTCACCACTGCGCCGGAGTGTGTCGTAGACCATGTTGTTTTACATAAAAACTGGTCCTTGATATCTTTTGCGTTGAGAATAGACAGGGACCCAGTTGAATTAGCACCAATTACGTCATAATCTAAGGGGGATAACTCAGGCCTATTTTGCTCGTAAAACGAAGGCCTCATAACGGCATATCATTTTAACACTATTGTGAGCTTCCTACTTTCACTGTGAGAAAAAATGAGTGTATATTTTCAAACACAGATACTAACTAATTCTAAAATTGCGTTTTGTTTAGAAAAAGAAAGAAAGTGATTTTTGCGTGTACACTTCCCCTTTAATACTTATTAATTGTACTGAGAATGATGCCAACAACCATGTTCAGACAAGTAGACTGACAAGTTTTGGGACAGAATGAAATAGTAATTGATTAGAAAATGGACAGTCTAGCAGTAAAACTGTTCTATACACTTGACATGTTCAATGATACACAAGATTGTTGCTAAATAAAACACATCAAATTGCAAAACTGGTTTCACTTATGTTGGCTATCACAGTCACGGCTCGCAAGTGTTTTTGAGCAGTTTAAGTGCTACAATACACCAACTCTCAGTCATCTCCTGCGTAATCACCAGATGCCAATTCAGAACGGAACACAAGTCCAACCAGTTGAGATTATAGTATATAATAAGCATACTGTGTATCCACAAATGAAAAGGCAATCCATATTTTAATACTTTCAGAGTTCGAGTGTTCACTGCTGCTCTTTAATATTGCCAAGCTAGGGTACATTAAGTATTGGAGAAAACACGCTTACAAGGTTTTGGTAGACAGAGCATGCACGTGCAAATTGTGCAGCATTGATAAGCACTTGTTTAAAAGCATGTGTTTTGAAACCTCGCTGTCCTTTCACCAGAGACTCTGAAGTGATGTAGCTTTTAAATGTCCACGCGGAACTGTACACATGACATTATATTTTAATTGAATTAAAATTTTGAATTGCTACTTGTCATTTTTTCAGTTACTTGGTTAAACCTGGGATTTGAGGTTTTACATTCAAAATAAAACCTCCCGAACGAAAATAAAACCTCATAATAGGTTTTACTTTGAAAGTAAAACCTCTTAATAGGTTTTAATTTGAAAGTAAAACCTCACAATAGGTTTTAATGCCTATAGAAAGAACTCTCTTACTTAATAGAGATCCCAATGAATAGGTTAATAATTATATAGAAATGTTCCTGGGGTACATTGTACCAGTGCCAACAGCTCCAGCAACGTAACTTAATCAAGCTCATAAAACATACCGAATCAGGCTGACTGAGTGAACGAAACTGAGAATAACACACGTCAGATTAAACATGAAAAAGGTTGATTCGGCGTCCTTCCATGTTGATTACAAGGCAAATTTGGTATCATCATCATGGCTATAATTGGCATCAGAGATATAACAGGCTTATCATTATCACTGAATGGCAGAGAGTTTATGGCGAATTGCGGCATTCCGCTTTTGAAGGGGTATCACAAATATAGACCTATGTGTGTATCATACAAGTCACAACAAAAAACATATTGACAGAATCAGTGTCACCTAGATTTTTTGTACATATTATCAGATAATGTGTGTGTTGAATAAGTCTTTCATAAAAAAACAACATGGAATTTGATCACTTGTGGCGACCTTGCCATCTTCTGAGGGACAATTTATACCACGAAATTAGGAAACACATTGAAAACAGCCACAGTAAATCTTTACTTTATATCTTACAAAATTACTTTTAGGGCTGGAGAAACAGGAGTTCGTAAACTCTATGGATAGTATCAAGCATTCATCAAATGTGGTAAAAACAGACTTAAGAACAAACACTACCGATGTTGTAACATCATGAAGGAATCTGAACGGCGGTTTTCCCAAGAGTTTGTCTGTCAAAGGGGGCTTCGAGATCACTTTTCCCAAAGTATTCTGTGTTTTCTTTGCAATTTTCGGATCCATTTCTTCTTCGTGATAAATCTATGCGAAACTGTCAACTCATTTGCTCAGCAGGCAAACGATACACTTCGGAATTCAGTCAGATCATGTAGTTTCGTTCATTATCAAACTCTTCTGACAGGTTTCATAGACGGAATTTACACCCGGCATGCACTAGGATTCATGCGCAATTCATTACTTCCGGCAAGTGCGTCCTAGCAAGGCATCAGCTGTTGCCCATGACAACGCAAGCTGTCAACAAAGCTTTTGCTGCAGTGGACTTGGTCCTGATGTGTTTTAACAGTTGACTAACCTCGATGAATTTACCGTTACGGAACCGCCCAATATTTGTATCAAGTGATTTTAATTGAAAGTATATTTAACGGAAAGTGTTTGATTTTAAATGTGAAAATGTACATGCATTTCTATAGGTCGATCAAGACCTAATACATCAATTATGCCAAAACAATTGACTTGAAAGAGATATGATAAATCTAAATAAATAAAAGGATGTAGGTCAAATGTCATTAACCACAAAAAGCCATGAAACTCGTTAGAAACAATTTTGAAGTTGTTATCCACAAACAGTTTCAATACTACATGTTCTACCATCAATTTCTAAAAGTCGCTATATGGTGGAAATTATGCCGATGCGACGTTAAATTTTAACTCACTCACTCTAAATCCAAATAGCGTCTTAATCTTTAAGTTTGTCATTAACAAGATACTGAATTCAAAGTTAGATAAATCTAAACCGATTTAAATCTAAATTCCACTGACATGTTTGTTGTTCTTAAACTATGTGAAGATTGTTTCCTATTAGCGACCTTGATTTTCTGTATAGTCACCTCCTTACCGGCGTTTTAATATTTAAAGCAGAAAGTCTATATACAGACTCCTTGGATTCAAGAAAAACCTCCACGAAAACTGAGGCCCTGCAGTTAAAGCATAATAATCTTTAAATATATTATTTGTGAAAATTAAGTATTCGCCCTTCCTACCCAGTGTTTTATTTTTTAAATGTGACCTTATTATTGATCAAAGGAATTGGCCATGGAGACACACCATATGAAAGCAGGGCGCAATCAGACGCCCTTGAAAAAACTATCATTTGTAGGCAGAAAATTGACAATTTTTTCCCAAATTAACGACCCCTTTTCTAAAAATAACACATCTGCATCGGAGTACAGTTGGTTAGATGGATTAGAAGAGTTTGTTCCTAAATCAAAATGATATTATTATGTAATATTATTAAATCCAGCGATTGAAATTGTCACTCGTCCAATACTCCTTGCCAATCTGTCCAATTGTTTAGGTATCACAAGGACTAGAAGAAATTTGCCATTTTAAAACGTTTTGCTATATGTCATTGTACGGACGGGTGGACTTACACTTGGCAAGACTCTAAGGCAATTATTATATATAGTTTAAATCATAATTTCTGGATTATGTAAATAATAAAAACAAGTTGTCCGCATAAAAGTCTGGCGTCTTTGTACTGTCCGGTTATCGAGACTTGCTTATTATAAGGATAGAGTTACTACATATCTATGCACTTATCTTTCAGTACAGACTTTAGGCAAGACCAGATTGGACTACAAATGTTTGTTTCTATTGCTGATATATTACATATATTTTACAGCCGCTTCTTATAACCGTAGCTTTGTATGCAAAAAACATTATGCTAGTGTCATACTTTGTAAGTACTTTAATCATAGGCGGTAGAAAATTGATCATACGGTGAAAGCTGACTTTCTGCAACTGATTGACCGCGTCTGCGAAGATAATAATGACCTTATCAGCATATAGAAAATCCCCGACCAGTAGGAGACGTCAATACCTGTCACAATGACTGTCGAGAGTGGGCGGACGAACACAAGCGTGATAAGTGCAACGGATCGAGAGATCGAAAAGTATCAAGGGAACAGTTCAGCGGTTAAACAAACGGATTCCGCGTTAACGAGATTGAGCTAAAGTTAGTGATTATGATAATAAGATCCAATTTAGTAATTATTAGCTTTCAAAATAAACGTACGTTCGGTTCAGAAGTAAAAATAACAATAAAAGACAGTTCTCAAAATAATTAGTCCGTACCGCAATTATGCATTTTTGGAACTATCAACAAGGTAATTACATGAAACGTCCTTGGTAGTAGGATAGTGCTAAGAGGGTATAACCGATGTACGTCATTGTTGGTAGGATAGTACAAAAAGGGTAACCGTAAACGTCCTTGTTGGTAGGATAGTGCAAAAAGGGTAAACGATGGACGTCCTTGTTGGTAGGATAGTGCAAAAAGGGTAAACGATGGACGTCCTTGTTGGTAGGATAGTGCTAAGAGGGTAAACGATGGACGTCCTTGTTGGTAGGATAGTGGTAAGAGGGTAAACGATGGACGTCCTTGTTGGAAGGATAGTGCTAAGAGGGTAAACGATGGACGTCCTTGTTGGTAGGATAGTGCTAAGAGGGTAAACGATGGACGTCCTTGTTGGTAGGATAGTGCTAAGAGGGTAAACGATGGACGTTCTTGTTTGTGGGATTGTGCTAAGAGGGTAAACGATGGACGACCTTGTTTGTGGGATTGTGCTAAGAGGGTAACCGATGGACGTTCTTGTTGGTAGGATAGAGCTAAGAGGGTAACCGATGGACGTCCTTGTTTGTAGGATAGTGCTAAGAGGGTAACCGGTGAACGTCTTTGTTGGTAGGATAGTGCTAAGAGGGTAAACGATGGACGTCCTTGTTTGTGGGATTGTGCTAAGAAGGTAACCAATGTAAGTCTTTGTTTGTAGGATAGTGCTGAAAGGGTAGCCGATGAGCGTCGTTGTTGGTAGGATAGAGCTAAGCGGGTAACCGGTGAACGTCCTTGTTGGTAGGATAGAGCTAAGCGGGTAACCGGTGAACGTCCTTGTTGACAGGATTGTGCTAAGAAGGTAACCAATGTAAGTCTTTGTTTGTAGGATAGTGCTGAAAGGGTAGCCGGTGAGCGTCCTTGTTAGTAGGATAGTTCAAAGAAGGTAACCGATGAACCTCTTTGTTGGCAGGATAGTGCTAAGAGGGTAACCGATGTAAGTCTTTGTTGGCAGGATAGTGCTGAAAGGATAACCGGTGAGAGTCCTTGTTAGTAGGATAGTGCTAAGAGGGTAACCGATGGACGTCCTAGTTGGCAAGATAGTGCTAATGGAGTAACCGAAGAACGCCCTTGTTGGTGGGCTAGTGTGAAGAGGGTAACCGAAGAACGCCCTTGTTAGTAGGATAGTGCTAAGAGGATAACCGATGAACGTCCTTGTTGATGGGATAGTGCTAAGAGGGTAACCAACGAACGTCCTAGTTGGCAGGATAGTGCTGAAAGGGTAACCGGTGAGAGTCCTTGTTAGTAGGATAGTGCTAAGAGGGTAACCGTTGAACGTCCTAGTTGGTAGGATAGTGCTAAGACGGTTATCGATGAACGCCTTTGTTGGTAGGGCAGTGCTAAGAGTCTCCCATTGTTTCGAGGTCACTGATTTTGATTTAACAGATTTCGCTGACCACTTTAATCTGGAAACAATGTGTGAAACTCATCTCCGGAGAGCATGAAAAGCCCGTGTTTGTCGTTGTAGTTGAGCTGACTTCAGAAGGTAAACAAACAGAATTAATGACTATCTTATAGAGTGGCTCTACCCTGAAGATATACGTATTACATCCGACTATGTGATGGAATAATATATATGATATAGAGTGGTTATCCTTTTATGATGTCCCCTGCAGTCCTGTGTTACATATTGTTCTGTGTTGTAAATATACTAGTATAGAGATACTATACGGCTAGATTCCCCCGGGCTATATGGAGCTGTATTGAACTGGCGGTGCTATTATAGTGAGTGAGTGAGTGAGTTGGGTTTTACGCCGCTTTTAACAGTATTCCAGTTATATCACGGCGTGTCAGCTTAATGTGGGAGGAAAGCCCGAAGTGATGCAGGTCTCCGACGTTTACCACTTCGGTGAAACCCACGAGCACGGGTATGGTGCTGACAAACCTAGAAACATAATTGGGGCGAACCGGGATTCGAACCCACAATCATAGGTTTCTGGCGTGCCCAAGGGACGCAACTCTGCACAGCAAATCGCGGCGCCTTAGACGACTGGGCCACCCGTGCCCCCCGGTGCTATTATAAACCCTCATCTGAAGTCTCAGAGATGGTTGTAATGGTTGACTATTGAATGGCCACATCAAGCGGATGATAACAATGAAATGAACTGTGCCAATCTAAATAAAAAGAAAATGGCTTTATCCTTATCTAAGCTGGGAAGCGATAGAATAACCTTTAAATCCATACATCCATATCAAGTTTCTGTTTCCAAATAGTAGTAATTACGTATTGACGTATTCCCACCCAGCAAGGCTCGGTGAAGCGTAGCCCTTTACCAATCATCTTCAAAATCGTTTACCGTCACCAACACTCTAACATGTATCCCATGGGTATTCGGAAATAAGTATCGATTTTTGAATCCGACGACGAGAGTCAATAGAACAGCGGATGCAGAACGGTTGTCTGAGGTAACGATGGAGATAAGCAACTTAAGGCGTCGACAGTAAACAAACCAGCATCTCCATCCTTGCCCTGAAGACACATACATCAGCGACAGCGCCACGCATGCAAAGGTAGGTGCTAACTTCATTGTCTGTGACACAGAGATATGTAGGGCATTCTTTGATTATGCCGTACCCACCTTTATTTGTGGTTAGATTTTAAATAGTGGCATAGTACTTTTCATTTCACGTTTTATACCAAATATTTGATTCCGTTGTATGTATATCAGTGTGTAATGATTGAAATGTCACGAGTTTAGCATGAGCTGAACACGGAACATGCTAATAAGGACATAGAACATGGCGTGGGTTAAAAGTCAAACCTCAACAACGCTAATGCTGTTTGATTCGCTTTACGCATGAACAGCATAGAACAGTCCATGAATCCCTAAATTTCAAGACAGTGATGTTTTCTTTAAAATTAATGTGCTGTAACCTGCCACCTTGACGGCTGAACACGACGCACACATCGGTAGTCAGTTGAGTTTTCTCTGAGACTTTAACGCCAGTGATCCTGTTTGTAACGTTGAAGACACAGTATAGATATCATACTAACAGAAGAATGGTATCGACGTGACCTCGGGCCAGTCAACAGTCCTCTTTCACACCAGAATACGCTAATGGCCCATGTAGGAGTCAATAAATATTTGACCTATATATAAAGTTGGAACTAACGAGGCGTCAACAAATAAAGGCTGGTGTAAAGTGGACAAAACAAAGAGTATAATTTATTTAGTTTTCTTAAACAGGTAGTCGTTCATCAGGCACGTGAAGTGTAAACACATATAAGCTATAGAATATTTGACCGGGCCATTAAAGGCACTGGGGTAAGGTGCCACGTGTATGATGCGTAACCTTGACGACGCCGGAAAGTGGCAATTTCTCAGAAGAGGTTTGGTCAAAAACGGGACATATCTGAACTCAGACATATCTGAACTCTAAGCCCTCCTTTCTAGAAATCCCTTTGTGTATTGTATACTGAACAAAATAAATTGCGAATGATGATTTCTTTGGTGAATATGTTTGTAGTGAAGATGAGCACACCATTTCATGAACATATCTCCCAAATATTCATGATCCCTGACATTTTTGTTCAGTATATTTCAAAGAGGCAATTCTCAGTAGATCAATGAGACACGGTTCTCAGTATTTGAGTGAGAGATTCTTCTAACTATCTCAGTGAGACAAGGTTCTCAGTATTTGAGTGAGAGATTCTTCTAAGTATTTCACTGAGACACGGTTCTCAGTATTTGAGTGAGAGTCTTCTAAGTATCTCAGTGAGACACGGTACTTAGTATTTCAGTGAGAGATACTTCTCTGTAGATCAATGAGACACGGTTCTCATTATCCAAAAGAACAATTGTTGTGTAGGGGACATGTCCAGCTACTCGCCATTTCTTAAAAATAATGTAGCCGAGGCCGATTATGTTTAAGGAATGGAGAGTTGCGAGGATAATCCCCTTTTTAAACGAATACCCATCTACCCATGACAAAAGGTTCTCTTGTTGAAATATTTGAAACATAAAGCAGAACCCTTTGTAACCTTTATTTATAAAGTTCAAGTCGCCCTTCCGCGATGAATGTGTTCTCTGCCGTTATTGCAAATCTTAAATTAATTTAAATATTTGTTCAAGAAAATGAAGAATTAACAACTGTCCGTTCTTGCAAAATAACGGAGCAATTCAACAATAAGACGAATGTTTGTTTGTTTTGTCTTTAACACCACGCTCAGCAATATTCCAGCTAAATGTATGCGACGGTGGTCTGTAAGTAATCGAGTCTGAAACAGACAATCCAGTGATTGACATCATGAGCATCGGTCTACGCAACTGAGATACGGTGACATGCATCAACCAAGTCAACGAACGTGACCACCCGATACCGTTAGTCGCCTCTTAAAAGCATAGTCACCTCTTAAGACAAGTGGGGGCACGGGTGGCCCATTTGTCTAAGGAACCGCGGTTCGCTGTGCAGAGTTGCGTCCCTTTGGCACGCCAGAAACCTATGATTGTGGATTCGAATCCCGGTTCGCCCCAATTATGTTTCTAGGTTTGTCAGCACCATACCCGTGCTCGTGGGTTTCACCGAAGTGGTAAACGTCGGAGACCTGCATCACTTCGGGCTTTCCTCCCACATTAAGCTGACACGCCGTGATATAACTGGAATACTGTTAAAAGCGTTAAACCCAACTCACTCACTCTTAAGACAAGCATGGGTTGCTGAAGACCTATCCTCACCCGGGTCTTCACGGGGGTCACAGATGTATTTGAACATCATCTTCTTGAGATACAGTTGGCAGTATCTCAATGAGACACATTTCTTACTTCTCAGTATGTTAATGAGACTTAGTTCTCCGTATAGCAACGAGACACAGTTCTCAGTATCTCAATATGTCAATGAGACTTAGTTCTCCGTATAGCAACGAGACACAGTTCTCAGTATCTCAATATGTCAATGAGACTTTAGTTAGTTCTCCGTATAGCAACGAGACACAGTTCTCAGTATCTCAATATGTCAATGAGACTTTAGTTAGTTCTCCGTATAGCAACGAGACACAGTTCTCAGTATCTCAATATGTCAATGAGACTTAGTTCTCCGTATAGCAACGAGACACAGTTCTCAGTATCTCAATATGTCAATGAGACTTAGTTCTCCGTATAGCAACGAGACACAGTTCTCAGTATCTCAATATGTCAATGAGACTTAGTTCTCCGTATAGCAACGAGACACAGTTCTCAGTATCTCAATATGTCAATGAGACTTTAGTTAGTTCTCCGTATAGCAACGAGACACAGTTCTCAGTATCTCAATATGTCAATGAGACTTAGTTCTCCGTATAGCAACGAGACACAGTTCTCAGTATCTCAATATGTCAATGAGACTTAGTTCTCCGTATAGCAACGAGACACAGTTCTCAGTATCTCAATATGTCAATGAGACTTAGTTCTCCGTATAGCAACGAGACACAGTTCTCAGTATCTCAATATGTCAATGAGACTGAGTTCTCCGTATAGCAACGAGACACAGTTCTCAGTATCTCAATATGTCAATGAGACTTAGTTCTCCGTATAGCAACGAGACACAGTTCTCAGTATCTCAATATGTCAATGAGACTGAGTTCTCCGTATAGCAACGAGACACAGTTCTCAGTATCTCAATATGTCAATGAGACTTAGTTCTCCGTATAGCAACGAGACACAGTTCTCAGTATCTCAATATGTCAATGAGACTGAGTTCTCCGTATAGCAACGAGACACAGTTCTCAGTATCTCAATATGTCAATGAGACTTAGTTCTCCGTATAGCAACGAGACACAGTTCTCTGTATCTCAATATGTCAATGAGACTGAGTTCTCCGTATAGCAACGAGACACAGTTCTCAGTATCTCAATATGTCAATGAGACTGAGTTCTCCGTAAAGCAACGAGACACAGTTCTCAATATTCAAATGAGACAGATCTCAGTACATATCAGTCTCACTTATCAATGAGACACATTTTCACTTATCAATGAGACAGCTCTCACTTGTCAATGAGACATTGTTCGAATTGGTTGAGGCATGTCATCGATCCCACATTGCGAGGATTGATGCTCATGATATCAATCACTGGATTATCTGGACCAGACTCGATTATTCACTGACCGCCGTCCTATAGCTGGAATATTGCTGAGTGCGGCGTTAAACAACCAACCAACCAACCAACATTGTTCTCACTTATCAATATCTCAATGAGACATTTTTCGCTTCTCAATGGGGCATAAATCTGTTTCTCAATGATACACAACTCTGTTGTTCATTATATCTGCATTGAAAGGAGATGCATTTTAAACATTTACGAGCATCAACTTACGATTCAGTTATATGATTCAGTTGTACACAATAACGCTTGCCTTTTCTGTGTTTATCGCCATAGCTACAGGCAATACGGGCCACTGTAAGCCAGGAAGATAGGCAGTCAATACCTTCTGATCCGTAAAGCACAATAGGACAGCATTAATGTTTAATGCGTCTTGGCGCACCGATGCATGACGGCCTGGGGTTGTTGATAGGTATAGTTACATCCTTCATATGTAAACGTGAGTGTGTGAGTGTGTGTGTGTGAGTGTGTGTGTGTGTGTGTGAGTGAGTGAGTGTGTGTGTGTGTGTGTGTGTGTGTGTGTGTGTGTGTGTGTGTGTGTGTGTGTGTGTGTGTGTGTGTGTGTGTGTGTGTGTGTGTTACCAGGACAAACAACCACAGTCCCGGGAGTTCCACACACAATGGGACGTGTATTAATTGTGATTGGCGTATTCCACGACGCAAAAGGCATATTTGTCACAGCAGGCAATTAACATAATATATAGCTATTGTACATCTAGGGTCATGGACGTCCCAGTCGTCTAAGACGTCGCAAATTGCAGTGCAGAGTAGCTTCCCAGAAGTCTATCAAAAACATATGATCATGGGTTCGAATCCCCGTTCTTGCTGATTATGTTTCTCGGCTTGTCAGCACCATACTCATGGACCGCCTCCGCGGTTTAGTGGTAGAGCGACCGCTCGGTGAGCGGAAGTTCCGGGGTTAGATCGCCGGTCGCGTCATACCAAAGACGTTAAAAGATGGTACTTGTTGTTACCCTGCCTGGCGCTCGGCATTAAGGGGCTAAAACAAGGACTGGTCGGCGCGGAGTCTGTACACAGTGTCTCAGTGGGGTATTATGTTAGATTGCGGTATGGTATCTCTGTGGGCTAGCACTAAAAAACCGGTATTAGTCCATTACAGACCGCCGTCATATAGTTGGAATATTGCTGAATGCGCCGTTAAACAAGAAACAAACAAACAAACAAACAAACGAACGAACAAACAAACGGGAGACTACTTGGTCACGCAAATTGGCAGTCCTAAGTTTGACTTAGGTCGGTCAAACACCATTATATGAATCCATAGTTATAGTTTATATCTATATAACAGTTTATGAGAAGTACACAAAGAAAATGTTTCAATTTCACGCAAGGCAAGTGTTACGAGAGATGTCATAAACGCATGTATGCTGAACTTGCTCTACAATAACATATTTTGTATTGTAGATGCAACAAA